AAAAAGTCACTAGTACATTCCTATCAAAATTTTAGAAAAATCAGTAAATATTAAAAACGAAAAATGTGCCTAAATTTGTTGTTTGGCTTTGAGGTCCAATAGATCAGGAGGTGAATGAGTAAAAACATTTTTGAGGGCATCAAAAACTGCGCCAGAATTCAGAGAACAATTTGATGTCAAGCATCAAATAATCCGATCTTCCCTGACTGACTTTTTGTTAAAATAAGCCTGAAAAGGACAATTTTAGCTTTTTGACTTTAAAAATTCATAACACACCAGCCTTTTTAGATACGATATCAAGATTTTACACACACCTTGACATAGATGTGAATAAACGGCGAGCAAAATTTCAACCCGATACCGCAAGAAATGATTAACTTATAGCGTCTCAACCACAAAATAATTTTTTCCGAAAATTGCACTCTTAACCAGGAAATGGTCGATTACAAAAATGGGAATTCTCAAAATAATTTTTTTGTGTGGAAACGGTGCGCTAGAAGGTCACTGAACTGCCTATGAGGTCATTAGGTCTGGACAGATTTGGGGTATGCCCCCTTAATCCCAACCCATATCCACTATAATGTACCTGAATTATATAATGTGGAAAAGGTGCAAGTAGACCACCTTCTCCACAAATGCATCTGATAAAATACATTATACAGTTAATTACACTAAAGCCCATAAAATTAAATGTATAGTTCCCAAATCATGCATTTTGGTGACTTTGTAGAAGTCAGATTTTGTTCCTCACTCTGGATAGGAGTGGGTCCGAGCAGTAGACTCGCGCTACTGACACCCGGGAATGGTAATGCACGGATACAGTTAACGCCGTGTAGCAAAAGCTTCAGAGGATCCTGCCTGCTGCAGGTATGCTGAGTGGCAGATGCGACAAGCGCACTACTTCCAGCGGACATCAAGATGGCAGTCTGGCCATCAGAGTTATTCAGAACACTCTCCCTTTTAACTAGAAACATGTTGATGTCAGAGTTTCTAGCCTACTTCTGCTGTAAGAAACTCCTCGCAGCTTGATGACTTACGGTTCTGTGTACTGAGGCACAAAACCCCCCTATTTTACTCTCCCTCACTGTCTGTGTGTGGCTGCAGACCCTCAGTTCTCTTATCAGTCATTTTTAGTTGCCTGAGATCTTGGACTTGTTGCTAGTGGGCTACCAACCCCTAGCTTTACTCTGGTACTCGCAAAGTTTATTGCCACGCACCCGTTTATCAACATTACAACGAACTAAACAACTACAGCACTAGGGCTTCAGCCCCTACCTCTCCTTCTGATAGTCCAGCTCATGATGACGCTGCACCTTTAAACCCTTTGGGGAGAAAAGCAGCTGATGGTATCTGGGTTAAAAGAAGGACCATCAAAAAACCAAAAATTAACAAAAAAATCTCAGAATCCTTTTACCTTTCTACTTATAATGTAAGATCTCTCACTGAAGAATGGAAGCAATGGGAACTTGTGTGCAAAGCCAAAACCTTTGACATACCTGTGATTGCTCTTCAAGAGCATCGTATTAAGAAGACTCCTTATATAATGCGTGATGGCTACAAGTTCCTCATAGCATCTCCTCCCCCTAAAAGTAGAACACTCCTTGGACTTGGCTTCCTTCTTTCCCCTTGGGCCCAACGCTGCTACATCGACCATAACGTCTTTTCAGACAGGATAATGTCTGTTTCTTTTACCGGTGAAGTTTGCACACACTTAGTTACTTGTCATTCACCTACTAATGTATCTACAGACCTTGAAGTTGAACAGTTCTATGCAGAGTTAACTTCTTGTGTCCGATCTTTTCCACCTCATGACGTAGTAGCTATAGCTGGCGACCTGAATGCTCACCTTGGAAAAGACACCTGCAACACCAACGCGTTTTATGAATGTACAAACCGAAACGGACAGCATCTTCTCGATTTTGCCCAAGAAAACGCGTTCACCATCGGTGCGCTAAAGTTTAACAAAAAGCATTCTAAAAAGGTGACTTGGACAGCACCAAATGGTCAACTGCATCAGAATGACCACATCCTCATTCGCTCAAAATGGCAGAATTCACTTAAAAACTGTGAGTCATACATTAATCCTTCGGTTCAATCTGACCATCGGATTGTCACAGCGACTATCAAGCTGTCAATAAGGACCAACATCGTCCGACCTAAGGTAATCAAGTATGACTGGGAGGAGTTAAAAAGTAACACTGCAACTTCAACAGCCTTCCAACTCCATCTCCAGAACAGGTTCACTGCCTTAATGGATGAAGAGAACGAGACTGATGACCTCGTCCAACACAACCAGCATGCATACACCAACATGATAAGTGCTATTAATGACACAGCAGAGAAAGTACTTCCCAAAAGGAAGAAGACTAGTCTAACTGCTCAGATTTCATCTAATCCTGAGTACCGGGCTGCTGTCAAGGCACGAGATGCTGCGTTGAAAGATAGTCACAAAAGAAAGACACGAGCTGCTACTAAAGCCCTCCGTGATGCCACCCTTGAAGTCAGGAAGGTCGAAACCAGCATACAAGAAGCGTTTGTTAATAAGACAATTGATCAAGTAGATCAGCTGTTTATTCCGCAACCCGCAAACCAACCAGGGTATGCAGCATGGCAGACGAAGTCAAACAGCTCTGGTATTGCGTGGAAGCTTATAAATGACCTTACCAATCATAAGCCTAAATCTATGTCTCAATTACCTGGATACAGAAACAAGGCAGATCGAGCAAAGGCGTGGACTGACCACTACAGCAAACTGCTTTACAATCCTGCTGACAACATCAGAATGGGTAGCTTTGAAGTCCAAAAGCCAGAACTCCCAATTGAAACGTCACCGTTCTCAGCAGATGAACTATCTACAGCTCTCAAGCAGACAAAGGACACGTACGGTCATGACGGAATTTCTTCTCTGCTGTACAAGTGTGTTGACTTGGACACTACTTTACTATCTCTGTTCAACAACATGCTAGCTACTGGTAAAGCCCCGGAAGAGCTTCTTGTCACTGCCATTCTTCCTATACCCAAAGGAGCTAAAAAGTTTTGTCCTGAAAATAGCAGAGGCATCTCCATCCTCCCTGTTGCCACGAAAATCTACAACAGGCTGCTTCTAAACCGAATCAGGAGCCACATAGAACCTCGCCTACGATACAACCAGAATGGTTTCCGGCCTGGAAGAGGGACTCGTGAACAGATTCTGGCTCTTAGACGTATCATCGAAGAGGTTGTGAACTTCCAGCTTCCTTGTGTCATCTCCTTTATTGACTTCTCAAAGGCCTTTGACTGCATCTTCAGATCGCATCTTCCCGACATACTGGCTTCCTACGGCTTTCCTAAAAAAATCATAAAAGCCATTATGTCACTCTACATCAACACTAAGGCTAAAATCATGACCCCTGAAGGGATAACCTTAGAATTCCTTACCAACCTCGGAATTCTCCAGGGCGATGTTCTTGCACCTCTCATTTTTATCATCGTCCTGGATTTCATACTAAGACTGGCAATAGGCCCACGTGATGGGTTTAAAGTTGGAAGTAACTACATTGCTGATTTGGACTTCGCCGATGACCTAGCAACAATTACTGACAGCTTCAGCGAAAATGGCCGCCTTTGCCAAAGCATTTCTGACATAGCAGCCCGTTATGGTCTCCTTATTAACATCGAAAAGACCAAATACATGTCCTATAACATCCCGCGACCTGCCAACTCAGACGATAGAGTCTTTATTAACGGCATCCCTTTAGAAGAAGTTCATGACTTTAAGTACCTTGGATCCTTTATAGCCTCAACAAGCAGAGACATCAATGTCAGGAAAGGTCTCGCATGGAAAGCTTTGCAGAGTCTAGATGCTTTTTGGAAATCTAATATGTCTAGGAAGATCAAGACTAAGATTTTTCGAACTGCAGTAGAACCTGTTCTGCTGTATGGTGCAGAAACCTGGACTCTTAAAAAGGCTGATATTAGAGCACTAGACGGTGTTTATACTAGAATGCTACGAAGGGTCTTTGGTATCTCATGGAAATCACATACACCTAACTCCGTTCTTTACGGAAAGATTCCATCTGTGACAGATACTATAAAGACACGAAGACTTCGTTTTGCAGGACATGTCTATCGTCTACAGGACCAACCTGCTCAACAACTCCTTTTTTGGCAACCATCCTATGGCCAGCGTTATCGAGGACGACCACATAAGACCTTCCCGGACGTCCTTCTTGAAGACACTGGACTGGAACCTGACCAGCTGCGTTTACTCATGTGTGATAGGGATAAATGGAGAGAAGCGTTGACACGAAACTCGTTCCAGATTTCATCTGGATCGACCTAGGCAGGTAGGCAGATTTGACAGATAAAATTTGGTTCGGTTAGAGCTCGAATAATTCCCAATTTGGTTCGTTAGTTGCTAGGGCAGCTTGTACATGACTGGAATAAAACTGTTTGTCGATGAATTCATGTGGAATAACGAACACTAAATATTAATATTTCTGTGTCCGAATAAACTTTATACTTTCATAAAACATCAAGTTTACTTAACATAAATGTAAAATGTCAATTTATCTAATAGTAATACTCACGGATAATTCTCATCTTCTGTTTAAAGTTATGGTCCATACTATTAACGGACTCGTGGCCATGTTGACAAAGATTTATCATATCGCTGAATATTGATCGCAGCCTTCCCCTCATATTCATTCAGAAGTTTGATCTGCTGTACAGAAAACAAGCGGAACAAAGATGATTAACCAGGCATAATAATAAAGTAGGAAAATGATTAGGTGTAAATTTATTCTGCAGAACGCACGGTCAACAACAATTTGTGGAGATACATTTTCTGTGGTTATGCTCTGTGATTAGCTATGATGATAATAAAAATGATATTTAATTTGATGACTAGGTATAAAGGTAATTAGAAGTACGAAATTCGGTATTAATGATCTTCAATATTAGTTGTAAGTCAGGGTATTTATAGCTAATTTATAGTGTTGACAGATTTTATCCACACCGCACAAATAATTTGTGGTCACGCCGAAGTTAACTTATCAACAAACTTAGTCATTTTCAATATTGCTTTACTCCAAGTATTTATCCTGAAAGCCTAAACTAATGACTTTACTATTTTATATGATTTGTAAACACCCAAAATTTCCTGTTTACATATCACATTATCACATATCTATATTATATTTTAAACTTGACGAAATTTCCCCGGCAACGGGGACATAGAAGAAAAAACACCGAAAATCGACCTCAAAATGACCCTCTGGTGATGCCAAACCCAGCTCGCAAATGGAAACCTCGCCATTTTTAGCAGGGTTGTAGAAAAAGGATAGGAATAGGCTATAGCATTCTTAGAATTTTGATTTAGGCTTTAGATTTTTTATAATTAACGTCGGAAGTGAGGTTAAATAATCGTTAGAATAATGGCGTTATTTAAGCAAAGGTTTACTGCGCTGTTGCGTAGCAACGATAAAAATGCACGTGCGCGAGCAACCACAGATTAACAACGCGTGTTGTTATGCTGTATGATACGTCATAATTTCAAAACTAGCTCACATTTACGCTCACGCTATGACTTCTTATAACTTTGTTTGTGATTGCAATATTTTGATGCAGTAAAAAGTATCGATACTTTTTTTCGATACTAAATTCGCTAGAGCTACACACAATGCTGACATGACGCCGCGCACACACAATCAACAAAAATATTGTTGTTTTCTAATTACGCAAATAACTTTGCGCAGTTAAACATTTTAATTGCCTGGCAATAATTCAATTGACTGTCATTCTCGATTGAAATATCAGAATTTCACAACTAGCTCACATTTACCCTCATGACGCTATATACCTATATATATTTATAACTTTGGTTGTGATTGAAATTTTTTGATGCGGTAAAAAGTATCGTTTTGGGGCTATATGATGAAGAGAAATTAAAACATAACTGATGCTTAAAATTTCCTCGAACAAAGCTTTCGACTAGCGGCGGGTTTCTAGTGTAACATAATTAAAAGTTTTATGTGAGCACTTAATACACAATTTTTGAGCCGTTGATATATAATATTAAGTTACTGTTCATTAAACTACTCATGCATAAAATAATTAGGTACAAACCGAAACCGATAGTCTAGCAGTTTTCAATATTCAATGAAACATACGATGCTTATTACGGACGACCCTGATATAATATTTTAATTTCTGTTTATACTTTTATAGAACTATATGTGCAGCCTGCCGTGCCCAAATCGTCGTGTTCCTCATTAAAAGATTAAACAGTTGTTTCAAAATCCCAAGTAAATCTTATTTCCCAAAAAAACAACAAAAGTTACGCTATTTTGCTGCAACAAAACATGTTGTAGCTATGTAGTTATTTAAGTGTATTGTTACAGCATCCCCTGTATCCCCTCAACCCCGACCAATACAACAACACAGAAAAACCAAATCTAGAACTTACGATGCATCCAAATGGTTCTGAGCGGTCTTCCGTAAGCTTTAATAATATCTGCCACCTCCTTATCTGTGAGTCGATCGTCCTCCTCTTCACTGATAGGCTCCACGAACACCCCCTTGACCCGTCTATATAAGGTCCGGATCTTAGACCCCGGGTCCGCTACCCGCTCTCCCCCGTTCAGCTCTGTGATACTTATGGTATCTTCAACAGCTACTCCTGATTCCACAGGTTGTGTGTCCAGGTTTAGGGGGATGTGTTTATCAGGTGATGCTTCCAGGTCCTCTACTAAAGTCATGTTGCTCTGGCTTGATCAGGTCTCAGATGGTAGCTTAGTGTACTTTTATTTCGTTGACGAAATCAACTATTTGATGAAATAAAACTCAACTACCCAACCAGAAATACAGGACAAACGGAGGAGGGTAGATTAACAAATTTACAACTTGTCGGAATGGTTCATAGAGGCTTACATAAAACATCTAAGTATGTTGTATGTGTTATGAGGCCTTATCCCGTAATTGTTCACTATAAATACAACTTCTAGACATAAGTGTCATGGTGTTGTGCTGAGAGGGTGTACCCATTGGTTACGTCTCTGTGATTAGTTGATTTTAAACGAGGAATTCAAGCTGGGAGATCCTGTAGAGGTCAACGTAATTTTGAGTTGTAGTTGTAATTTGGACTTAGATTATTCTCGTAATCTACTAATCTAGATAATCGTGGGATAATGTGCTTGAAGACGACTCTCCAAGGCCTCACTATACCCACATAAGTTAGAACCCAGATTTAGATTCATTAACACAAATTTGCCCAGTAACTCGTGGACACTAAAGGTGAATACTACCCAGTTGTGAATGTAAATAGTAACTGACAGGACCAGTGCGAAATGTTGACCAGCTCCATGTTTAGATGTTCTCCAACTTGAACTTAACAGAATTACATTTTATTTCCGTTGGTTGAACGTGATAAAAGGAAAACCACTCTTCCAAATAATAAATAAAACTAAATAAAACTAAATGGAACTTACGGTGACCGCGGAAAGTCTTGAGAGACATTCCGTAAGCGCTGATCATGCCTGCCACCTCTGAATCCGTTATGGAACCAACAAAAATACCCTTGTACCAGTTGTAAAGTTTTTGAATTGTCGTGTTTTTGAATTCATCAGATTCCTCAATCTCTCCTACATCCAGCTGTATGTTACTCTGGATCCCAGTGTCTTCTGGAACCTCTCTTCCGGTTCCCCCAGTCTCTGATGAATTGTTCAGACGAAGGTTGACGTATTTGTTAGGTGAGGATTCAATGTCCTCTGCTTCTACTGATGTCATGTTCCTATGACCAGATACTGGCTCTGTCGGAAGCTCACTGTACCTGTATCTTTCTTTTGTAGACATAAAGTAAGGTCGTCAAATTTAGCTTAATAATAAGGACGTATCTGAACACAAAGCAGCAGGAAGCAGACTCATAAAATATAAACTGATACACACGGATAAGTACACCTTACGTACCCCATATACAAGGCAATGTAAGCAAACTGTGTAACGTAGGTACCGTGAAATAAAACTGTCCGCTGGATATTTAGAGTGAACATTTATGCTCATGTAGCTTATTCCTAGTCACTTTGTTATATTGCGGCAACTCATTACTGGTAACTTAGACTTCCGGTCTCACAACAAAATAGTGTGGAGATTTTAGTACGGATCAGCGTTTGTAGTGCAAACCGCTGTAAGAACTAAAAAGGACGCTGGTCAAAATACTACATACAACAGTGGTATGTTGTGTTGACCAATGACCAGCGTAAGCAGGTCTAAACTACAGACCACTCTGAACAGGTCTGAACTACAGACCACTCTGAGCAGGTCTAAACTACAGACCACTCTGAGCAGGTCTAAACTACAGACCACCCTGAGCAGGTCTGAACTAAAGACCACTCTGAGCAGGTTTGAACTACAGACCACTCTGAGCAGGTCTAAACTACAGACCACCCTGAGCAGGTCTGAACTACAGACCACTCTGAGCAGGTCTAAACTACAGACCACTCTGAGCAGGTCTAAACTACAAACCACTCTGATCGGCAGGTCTGAACTACAGACCACTCTGAGCAGGTATAAACTACAGACCACTCTGAGCAGGTCTGAGCTACAGAGTCTAAACTAAAAACCAAAGCAAATGCACTTTCTAAATAATATTAACGGTTATAATCATTCGTAAAATATTATGTACAACCCTAGTACCGCTTCAGAAAGATAAAAACGAGATACAAAATTAATTTAGGTAGCGCAGAAAGACGTACGTTCAGTGCAACAGTTTACTTAGATTTTCCTGATAATTGTAGTGAAATTATAGTCATTTCACTATTTTAGCTCTTTTTATTATGAATTTCATAAGATTAGTTGTCTAATAAGGCTGCAGTTTATTTGATTTAGGATATTTTAAGAGAAATAAGAGATATTCCTGACTCTTATTGTAGTAAACTGAAAATTAGTGGTCTGAAATGAACAGAGGATGCCTTAATTCTAATATTTCATTTTCTGACAATAGATATGCTTTCTTACATGTAGTCACATTAAAAATATTTCATGCTTAAACGACTAAAAAAGCTGTTAACGATTACAAGTGCAGTAGTAATTAATAATCAGGAAATAATCATAACAAATTCCTCAATTCTTACATCTTTTGCGTTTCGTCTTGTGCCAGGGTTTGATCGTAGATCCATCCTTTTGGTCATCATTAGTATTGCTCTCGGAGGACATGTAACTGTTCATGTTTACATCAAAGCGACCTTTATGTCAAAGAGCCTAATTTTAATTATTATGGTTACATGATCTCGTGAAAAAAATGGAGATCGAATGGAAGCTAAGTTTCAAAGTTCCACAGTTTATATAAGCTTCGGTTATAGCGATTTAAGCTTGAAAATCTTAATTCTAAACAGATTGAAGCTGGTCCTGGAGGAAAGTGAACCACAAGACACTCACAAACAAAATATGTGGTCAGTACAATTGAGTTACTCATCACTGTAAAATTATCACGGGTGCCACGAGACACACATACTGAGACACACATGATGATTTCCCAAACCAATTTGGGAATAGGATAATGAAATTTTACAGTCCTGGTGTCCTCTAAATTCAATATTAAAAGAGACAGTACAAATGGTTCGAGAAAGAACGCTGAAAACGGTGGTGCTGCAAAAAATACGGTTCAATAATTTGAATCCCTGCAATGATACAATTAATCTTTTTCAAAACCGAAACTTTCCAAAATTGATTTAATCAACTTGATCTCGTTCGCCATAACAATCAATCCTCGATCAGTATATAAAAGTTCCGACTCCCAGTTCCATACTTAGAACTACACGGCACCTCAGGTAGCGTTATAACTTGGTGACTTAATTTATTTTGCTATCTTAGTATCGATCATTTTTACAAACTCTTTGGACAACCTTCAAATGGTTAAAATATAAATCGAAGTCGAATCATATTTTCAAGTTACAGAAAATGCAAGTACAGATTTTAAACTTTAGGATGGTTTCAAAGTCGAGGAAAATTCTCCACTTGCAATTAAAACATGTGCTCCTTCATAATCCATAAATATAATCAAAATCGTGATCAAACCGGCCCTTATTCATGGGCCTCTCAGTCTGTACTGAAGCACGAATAAACATATTTTTTACCGCCCGAGAAAAGGTCAGAATTTTCTAATTTTAATATCACACAGTAGGTAGTGCGCCATCGACAGTGAGCCGCGCCGCGCGTGCCGACTGTAGGATGGTTTTTTAGCGCTAATTTCGGCCAGCACAATTTTCTTCAAACAAATAGATATTAAGTATCTTTCCCGACCTCTAATTGCAACAAAAATTGGTAAGCTTACTCATAGACTTACAAGGAAAGTGTCCGAAAAGTTTAAAGCATATCCAACCATCAGACATTATGTTACAGCTAAAAGCAGCGTATTTTGCCCCATTTTGATCACTATATCAACCCCGATATCTACCAAATTTTTCGGACAGTTGTGAAAGCCCTATTGGAAGGTCGTCACCAATTTTCAGAATGATCTTATTCAAGGAACTGAAGATATATCCAAATAATACGACAAAAATCAACGAATTTGGTCAAATTTGGTCAAATTACGCGACTTTTACAGCTAATTTTGCTCCAAAAGCCGCGCACCATCAAATATGGCACCTAGACGAAACTCACTGATCTTTCCAAAAAGGTATGACAAATTTAGTACTGTGAAAATTTTCACAGTCTCTAGAAAACAATGGTACAAAAATTTTTAAAATCCGAGCAAGTTTATTTTCATGGTGCACCCCCTACACACAGCTAATTAGTTCGAACTATAGTGATAGCGCAACTTGATTTGAATTTCGATGATTCAGTTGAATAACATGAACTAAAAAATGTTACTTTAATTTGATCATCGAGTTACGAAACGAGTTATTCTAAAAGAGAATAGCTAAATGAACATGCTTTATTTGGTTCGATATCTAATTCTTTGACTCAGTTTAATAAATGCAACAACGAGTGACTGGTTACTCACGAGCCTTGAGATCCCACTTGTAGTTGTTGTACAGGTCAATGATGGGTTGAGTGGCGGCTCTTTGGAGACGAAAACGGAGTCTCCTCGGCACCGGAGCTGTGTCCACTCCCTCTTCACATTTAGCGGAACTTGAAGCTGGTTCTTCGTGGGAACCGACATTCATGTCTTCTGATCTCCTTCATTAATTGGCATGGTTACAGAAAACTCGGGAATGGTTTAAATCAAATGGCTGTTACCTCAAAAGTTTTAAATGGTTTCTCAAAACTCTCATGTTTTTAAATGTTTGTTAAGCAAAATAAAGTTATTTTCAATCATAACTCAAATCAAAAAGGATTTCAATCATATAATTATAAATTCAATTAAAACAAGTGCATCAGCGAAAGAGTCAGCATATAAGTGGGTGTGGAATCGCACTATTGACCTAATACCGTACTTTTTTGCACCTGCATCGGCCGTTATTCGTTCTATCAGATTTGAGATTTGTGTACTTGGTAATTGGTATCGCTGTGAACAATTGAATAAAATTGACGCCCTTAACTATGGTTAGGGTTAAACGTGTTTCATGATTAGATTTTTAACATTGAAAAAATCGGATAGTAGAATCATTTTTATAAATTTATATGTACATCTTGAACTGCCAGGAATCTAAGCAAAAGACTATAACCTTGTATGCCACGCTGTTGAACAATCCAACCTGAGAGTACCTAAAGGCTCCAAATTTGAGCCTGAGAAGTATGTTAAGAGCAGCAATAATTCCAAAAGGCAAATGGCTGCACTACCCGCGATTTGCTATTTTCCGTATTGCTTGTATCCTACCAGAATCGCCAATACAATCATTGCAAAAGAATTGACATTTCAAAGTGATTTTCTAATATCAAAAAGATGCAAAAAGTTCAAAATATATTAAATGAGATGCCATGATAACAGTGAAAAAAGAGCATTTATGTTTTTAAAATCGTTCCAAAATGTATCACCCGCCGTGTTTACTTACGTTTAAGGGTCTCAATAAATTGTAAACGAATCGGAATTGTGGAGAATGGAGATCATAAAATTGTTCTAAACAATGATTGGTTCGCATCGGCATTTATACTTATAGGCATACTGATAGTAACTGATTTAACGAGTTTTCTTCTCTGGAGTCGATTCAGGAAGAAGCAGAGCAGGATTTTAAGTTAAAATGGAATCAGAAACTTTTAATAAAAGCACACATTCCATCTGTATCTCAAATTTTTTTAGTCATAATATAATAGTGATGAAAGTATTAAAAAATCAGGACACAAATTGTCAGGCAACTCCTTATATTTGACAATAAGCTGGGTTTGTGTGGCTTTTCAATATCTTAATAGAATTTGTACGTAAAATAATAAAATGCTGCCGAAATAAAGGCTACTTATATGAAACATTACTCGATCTGACATTGAAGAGAGGATAATGTGTCATGAGACTTCAGAATACAAGGAAACATCTTAAACTGTAAACACAACTTCTACCCTCGTTTAGTGTCGGCTATGTGCCTAATCTGGTATACTCAGTGGAGATACATGTTTTCTAGATAGTTAGATCAGGAACTGAAGCTGCAATCTTTAGTGCAGAATTGCGTACTAATTTCAATTGGATACAGACAAGTTTCGGTCACAATTTTCTTTCATGAAAGTGCTTTAAAGTGTAATACTAGCCACATCGAATAGGAGAATGCAGGCAACACAAGAAAACATGAGTCATTTCACGGGCGAAACAAGTAATTTAAACCTATATACACCGTATAATAGAATACGCTTGTAAAAAACTAAAGTATTTTTATAACACGTACAAACGCACCGAAATAAACCAATCAT